AAGAAATTACATTTGTGTGTGTGTGTGTGTATATGACTTGAACAAAATAGACATCATTATTGTACCTTTAGGATCCTTTCAACAAATGCTTTTAAAAAGGTATTTGTTGGTGATATACAGACACAATCAAGATACATTAATAATAATTATGAGTGAGGAGGGGAAGTTGGAACACAATTAAAATAAATTTTAATTGTAAATAAATTAACAAATAAAAAAATTGTGAATTGCTTTATTTATTCATTTATTTATTTATTTGCATACTTATAAGTTCCTATATATGGCTTTCATTTAATTTTATCTTTATCATGGCATATTTTATTATTACTGATATCACTACTTTTAGTATTTTTTTAGGAATATTAATATTAATAAAAATATTATTACTCTATTGATTTCCTCCAAAAAGTATAGAGTTACCACCCTTGATTTAATAATGCCACTTAAGTTATTAAACCAGCATCTCTCTAAATTAGAATTTGTATTTCTTATTTCCAACCTTATTTTCAATCTTAAATGTTGATCTGGGCCAAACTTCAAATTCAAAATCAACTAAAATTCATTTAAATATTTTAACATTTATTTACATATTTATATGTTCCTATATAAGGCTTATTTCATTTTACTTTATATTTCTTTTATTTTAAATCATTTTCTTTCTATTGATATGTATTATCATCATCATCATCATCAGTAGTAATAGTAGTGTTGTACTTTATTTTATATTATTTTATTTTATCACAGGATACTTTATTCTTGATATCACTAGTTTTAGTTAGTTTAATACAATTATTATCAACAACTGTTGGTTTTTGGGAAAAAATAGAGTTGCTTCCATTGATTTTCTAACACCCCTTTTTTGTTTACTTATGTTTTCAAAACCAATGTCTTTCTAATTTAGAATTTATATTTCTTATTTCCAAACTTATTTTCAATCTTAAATATTAATCTGGGCTTAAATTCAAATTCAAAATTAAACTTCAATTCATTTAAATATTTTAATTCCAATAATATTCTACCCCAACAATAATATATCTCACAAGAAACAGAAAATTTAAAAAAAAAAAAAAAAAAAAAAAAAAAAAAAAAAAACAGAAACAGTGTCAACACAAAATATAAATAAATATAATAATTCCAGCACTGGAAAATTGCTTCACCATGAAACTCAAATATATATATATTAAATAGCTCTGTTACTTAACAGTGAGCACTGTTTTTTCTTACACTATAGAGTATTTATATGAATTTGTATATGATCGCTCACTCGTATACCTACCTATATTTACCCATTTGGTTATATATATATATATATATATATATATAATAAATGTGAATGTTAATGTCACACTTTTTCAATTAAAGGGACACAACTCACTAACTTTCAATAGGTCATCTTCTTCTATATAATAAATGCAAATGTCAGTGTATCACACTTTTCAACTTTACTCCTAGAGGCCGTAGCACAACATATTATACCATTTTGGATACGGGACAACTCCATAAGCAAATTAAATATATTCCAAGCCAGATCCAGACGTGTAATCCTGAAATTTTAGATTCCCAAGTTTTCATTACATCGATAGTTTTTGGTGATTTTTTAAACAAATTTTTTTGTATGATAACAATTTTTATAACTTGGAAATACATTTGGGAATAATTTAAATTAATTGCAAAACCAAACAAAATCGCCCATGTAATAAAAATAATTGTGTGCATGGAAAGTAAAGACTTATGTACATAAAACTGTCTTTAAATTAAGTATTGGCAGAAGAAATATCATTGAACTTTTAAAAATTAAGCTTAAATATTAATGCAATACTTAAATGTAGCAATCAATTTTGAGTTCTTCTCTAGTTAATTGTTGCCTATTGCATCTACTCCTCTCTACCTACCTATTGTGATGAAAGCCCAATCAAAGCTAGCATAAATGCCACCCAGTTGGGTGGCATTTAAACTAATATATATATATATATATATATATGTGTGTGTGTGTGTGTGTGTGTGTGTGTGTACATATACACAGGAATCATTCACTTAATGCATTTTCAATTAGTGCACTAATAATGTAAGCCAATAATAAAAACATTTATTTGAATATTTGTCTCTAAAATTTTTTGAATATTTTGATTTTTTTGTGTTTACATTGAAGGTCTTAAAAAGAAATTTCTGATTTTTTGTTAAAAAAAATATGGATGATTTAATTAGATACAAAAATTTATATTTATTAAAAAATATCAAAATATAAGAATAAAAATGTATACATTTAATATGGAAAGATTATAAATAAAATTTTCAGGTGAAAATACTAATGATTATGACACATTTAGAAAATTTTCAGGTGAAAATACTAATGATTATGACACATTTAGAAAATTTCCAAAACTAGAAAATATACACAAGAGATTTTAAAAAAAAAAAATTAAATTAAAACTATTAGATTGGGTGTCACAGTCACATGATTTAAACTCTATTGAAAATATATGGAATTTAATGAAAAGAAAAATGGAAGGCAAAATCTTTAAAAATATCGATGAATTAAAAGAAATTATAGATATTTGGAATAACATCGATAAAAATTTAATTTCTAAGCTAATTTTATTGATGCAAAAAAGAGCAAAGGTAGTTTTTGAAGCAATGATATTGAAGAATGTCAAGAAACTATATCTAACTGCCAACATAAGAAGATGACAAAGAAGGAATTAGAAGAATTTTTCAGGGTCATTAAAGAATTTAAAGGAAAATGTTTCAAAGCAGACCTTGATGAAGACAGAAGCCAACAAATTTGCAAGAAGATTGAAGGGGCAATTTCTCAGTACAGACAATTATATGAAGAACAGAAGAATACCATGCAGCAAACCAATCTAAATAATTTTTTCATAAAAATCAGATTAACAAACATTAATTCAGAGCATTTTTATTGTATCTTCTTATATGTACGTATACTTTAATTAAAAAGTATGCAAATTAGAAATTAATTGTGAATGAGACTAAAATTTGAGGTACAAATTACATCATTTCCTAAAAGTTATTCGATTATTGCACATCTTTTAATGTACGCATTAGCTGCACTAACTGAGGGATTATTGTACATCCAGATTTCTCAAATAAATCAAGATGGAATCAAAATTATGTTTTTATATATATATATATATAAAAAGATAAAAATATAGTTTTATGGTATACTATATTTATGGGTTAAAGTGCTCAATATCAGGGATAGAGCATATGTAAATATAAAAGTGGCAGTTTCATGCTTAAATGTAATCATCGATCCATCCGACAATTGTGTTTAAGCATGAGACAGACTGTGATTGCTGGGTGTTGACCTCAATGTGCACTTATGTATGTGTATGTGTATGTTGAATAAAAAAAATATACATACATGCACATAAAATTGCAGATATGTATAAATATATTTCTTGCACAGGTGTTATAAATACAGTGCTCAGTGTTCTGAGACAGCTATAAGTATATATTAGTGAATATATATAATATCCAGTGTCAATAGGGGTTTCATGCATTTGCTGGAATCTTTCAGGTGCAAATACAATCTGACCGTTATTTTGCGTTCCTGTGGTGAAGATTTAAAATTTTGTGTTAAAAAAATTTGTTTATTTAATTATTGTTGCCCAAAATATTAGAATTAACTAATAATAATTTATATCATTCAAATTCATAAGTTCAAAAGGCAAAGAAATAAAAAATTAAAAAAATTTTTTTTTAAAATTATTTGAATTTAAATCTTGATTTAAAAGTAAACAAATCAAGTGGGGTAACTCATTTTTTACAAAAATATAGTAATATCAAATAACAAAACTAATACTCAGGATAATATAAGGGTGCAAATAAAAAAAAATTCAAAAAAATTAATTGGTTGGCACTATCTAATGTTTGGAACCAAGCTTTGTACGTGTAAGGTGAAATTATATAAGCACACGTTATAAATAAATCAAGTACAGTAATATTGAATTATGTGTGTGTATAAATATATAAGAAATGTTTTATGATGGCTTCTAAGAATATTAAAAGTTATTGCATATTATATTAATATTTGTGAAATCTATTTTGTAATCTTTTTTAATCAGGGTCAATGTGTTTTAGCAAGTTCTTGGATTTATGGATACATGTAGGCATTAATTTGGACCTCATGTTCAGCAGGTTACGGTTATTTAAGTGTTTTAATATGATAAGCTTCTCCAACAAACAAAAGTTTCATCTGTCTCCCTTTCCATTATATGGATTAGCTTTCACAAATATTTCCCAGCTAATGATTGGGTTCTGGTGATTGTTTTTTTTTAATCACCAAACGTACTTTGAAAGTGATGTGCAGTTTTTGTATTTGATATTGCTGTGTCATTTTGTGGGGGTAAAAACATGATTTCCAGCTGTTCTCGTGGATCCAAAGTAATATTTAACATCATTTATCAAGGCAAATGCAAGGTAAAAAGTATTTTGTATACAAAAGTAAAAATGTTATTGTTTTTTCAAAATTTTCAAGTATATGAACACTCATAAATATCTATACCTAAAATTTTGGATAACTGATAACATCTTCCTTTTGTATTTAAATACTTGTTACAAAATAAAATCCTCACATTTGCCTTGATAAAGTCCCTCAGAGGATGAAACGCGTCAACTAAGTTTTCCTTTTTGTCTTTATTCATATTGCCCTTTTACAGATATACTCTATCTGAAATGTTTACACACACACACATATATATATATATATATATATATATATATATTAGTGAAATAATTCTAATTCTATAATTTTATCCAATGATAAATTTTTTCCAGTAGCTGAAGTGGTTAATGACGTGAATATTTTTTGTCATCTGACTGATGCCAATTACATTTTTGTTAATATTGATACTTACACAACAGCCTTCTCAATAAGAAATTTATCAACAGAAATCTGAGCAGAAACATGTCCTCCAAAAGATTCATAAAGCCGAAGCACCAATGCTTTGTCACATTTTTCACTCTGGAAAGAAATCATATAGGAAATAAATACATTTAAAATGTATATAAGTTGAAGAGATCTCTGAAAAATATGCTTATATGTAATCAACATTAACAAACGTTATGGATAATTTTATTAATATTGTCATATCTTTTTTTTAATCATTTCACCCCAAGTAAAGCGATAATGCCACTCGGATGCAAGGGGTTACAGGGAGTGAAAAAGAATGAGAAGACTATGGACCATAAATAAATATTGATGGACTTCTAAGGATGACGTGATTAATAAAATCACCTACATGTTATTAGTTATATATTACCCACAAACATGTAACATCTTCATTCATTATGTCTCAAAATTTTATTTTTATTTTACAATACAATAGAATTTTAGGCTGATTTATACTCACCTATATATTTACCTATATAGTGATTGCCACTTCTTGGCAGAAGGCCATATCTTCAATTCTGGATTGTATGGCAATGAATATGTAAGTGATTCAGAAGAACCACTTCACTTCTGCAGGCTTTTCTACTTATATGGTATACAAAAATTTGTATGTGGTCTTCAAATATATTTGGCTCATATATGTTTATGTGACTCTTCAGACCTGCAACTGACCCACATACTTTGTCACAAAACTTACATAATTTACCTGTATATGGCTTTCAAATGACTAGCAAGTTCTGCTTTGGATAAGAAAACTACCATCAATGTTGCATGTATGCTCAGACAGAAGGTTATCTCGAACTGATGTCATGTCCTGCTTTCACAGAGACTGTTTCAAGATTGTACAATCAAAACTTCTTTTCTTTTAACACCTTACAACTAATGTTTACCATTTTCTTCCACACAAAACTGATTTTATGTGAATGTTTCCCATCATTCAGCATAAATATCAAGAGTTTAAGAATTTTGGTTTGTGTTTTGCACATTTACCACATGGTAACTCACTGTAAAATAACTGCTTTGGTAATAGGACATCTCCTATTATAGAAAGGTGTCTTATCTATCTCATTTATATATCTATTTGCTGATACACATATTAAATTCAAAACTCAAAGTGTTAAGAATATATATTAGGTAAGCTAGAGTTTATAGCAAAAGAATGAACGACCTAACACTGTAGACTGAATAAAGTTCCAAATTGCAAGAAGTTTACTTTGAAAGATACCTGCAAAAAAGCCAGAGAGTAGAATGGCTGAAAACACTTATGATACCAACTAAGATGAAGAAACTAATTCCAGAAAATCATTGGACTAAAATAAAATTTGACATTTAAGTTTATATTATACAATTACATATTTCTGTAATATTGGCCTTAATATTAAATAGATGTCATAAAGATATCTTGACAAAAGGTCGATGATGCAAATTATAGTCCTAGTCTTTTTACTAATTCCAGTTTATAGCACTAACTTAATTCCCTTTCTGCTAAGTTTGTTGGATTCTTGGTTTGTATTTTTAAAATGGTTGAGTTCTGTTAACTCCTGTTTCTTGACGCCCCCCCACACCCCCACCCCTGCTGAAAAGCTCAAAACATAAGGAAAAAAATAAGATCCGTTAAATGTTTTTCACCTTTTTAACAGCAGATAAAACAACTTGAGGTGTGTTCAGTTTAAAGAAACTGCATTCATTCTGAGAAACTGTGACTTTAAGTTGCTTTACAATCAAAGGTGAATTTAAATTGTAAGCCTGTTGAATTAATCCACTCTTTTGGAAACACCCTGAAAACAAAATAAAGATGAAAAGTACATTTAGATGAATTTAATAAAAAAATCAAATTTATTGACATATAAGAAGTTCTGTATGAGAAGCAAAAGTGAATATCACAAGAAAAGCATTTGCAAAGGAAATACAAGAGATGCTCCAAAAGTTTGAAATCTTTGATTTCTTTTAAAGGGATTCAAAGTTATTGCATTATCTGATTGCCTTATTATAGTGTGTGTGTGTGCATATATATATATATATATATATATATATATATATATATAGATAGAGAGAGAGTAATGAATAAAATTGTTCACTTATCCCTATTCTGAGTTTTGTGGAGATTTTACAATCAGTTCCTAAGTCAATTGGGTGTAATTTACACAAAACTCTTTACTTATTACTATTAATGTTCTATCTTCCACAAATACCTTGGTTGCCTGCTTATGTTTAGGTGAAATACATTCTTTGTTATATATATATATATATATATATATGTGTGTGTGTGTGTGTGTGTGTGAGTGAGAGTGTTGAAAAATTCTTAGCCTGACCAATTCTGATGATTGGTCAGATTTTAGAAAGTGTGTGGAGCAAAGAAGTTTACAGCAGCTCCTACTATTATTTCCACAAAATATTAACATATTCATTGCTCTCAATATCTAATTGAGGTTCATAATTTAGAAGTAATAAAAAATAAAAATAAAAAAACATTGAAACAACTGACAATGGCCGGAAAACCTCAGAAATTGAGCCATTATAGAATTTTTCACTCTGGAACAGATTGCCTTGCATGAAAATTTATGAAAAATTTTGTAAACCTGACCTCAAAGAGACTAAATCTGTTTTTGTTGACAGGCACTATCAAGCCTCTAACAAGTTTGGTTCTCATAAACTACTGGTAACTCTGTAATAGAGTGTTAAATAATAATGAGTTTTCTATCTCTCTTCTCTTAATCAACATATTTTGCTGATAAATTAGATTGTTTTACGAGTAAATTCTCTTCAAATTCTACTCTTGACTCATCTGGCATATCTTTATCTGACTTTCCACTTAGAACTGAGTCGCTATTCAGTGATATGCATATAACTCTGTTCATGGGTTCTTCTATCATCTCTAAACTGGATCGCCTCAAAGCATATAGAGTTGATGTCATCCCTACAATAATATTTAACAAATGTGTTCTGGAACTGGCTCCTGTTCTCTCTAAACCCTATAATAAATGCCTTGATGCTTCTTGCTTTCCAGCTTATTGGAAATTCTTCTGTAGTTTCAGTCTTTAAGTTTGATCCTTCTATCAACCTTTCTATTAGCCTTCTACCTGTTTTTCATAAAGTACTAGAGGCTCTAGTTAACTCTGAAATGACTAAGCATCTCATCTCACATGGTTTTCTTTCAGATAAGCAATATGGCTTTAACTTCTCTAGGTCAACTGCTGATGTATTAACAGTTACTGCTGAAAGAGTCTATCAAGATTTAGATAAGAATGGAGAAGTTTAGGCAGTTGCTTTGGATATTTCAAAGGCATTTGACAGGATTTAGCATGTTAGTCTTCTTCAAAGTTGAAAGGTTATGGTATTTCTGGACAAATCTTTAATCTGATTAAATCTTTCTTATCAAATCGGGAAATGAAAGTTCTTTTTGCATAAATGGAGGAGTCTTCCAGGTCTCTATCCTTGGACCTACATTATTCAGTTTTCATCAATAACCTTCCCGATTTATGCTGATGATAACAACTATTTACACATCTTAATAGTAAATTTGATCAGTTCAATAAGATCAAATTGGCAGCTGACCTAAAAAATGACAGACAATCTGGAGTAAGAAATGGCTTAAGTATAACACCTCCAAAACAAACCACTCTCTTTCAATTATCCAAGAGAACCCATTTTGCCTTCCATCAATATGACAGATACTAAACTCCAGGAAAATGATTCCTTGCATCTTCTTGGTCTAATGTTTTCCGTTGACATGAGTTGAAGGATGAAATTGAATCCCTGCCTCCCACCAAAAAAAAAAAAAAAAAAAAATAAAAAAAAATAAATCAGCCTTTCCACATTTCAAGGGAAAATAATTTATTGCTATTTTTTTTCCAATTTTGATATTATTTAAAAAAAAGAAAAAAAAAGAATTAGTGCAGTAATATTGATTTTTACTAAAGCATATTAGTCAATTTATTGTTTCTGGGTTTGAATCCTATCAACATTAAGGAACAATTATTTTATTTTACAAAATTCATTTTTATGTCTTTTTATTCTTGCCATAAGTCTTTCATGTTACAAATGTAACATTTATGGAAAATGTATGTGTGTTTTTTTTTTTCCAAAATGTTAAATTTAAGATACACATAAAAAAATAAAGATAGAAAGGAAACCATACCTGAATGGGGCATTACTGCATAGGTAAAATGCTGAGTGCCCATATCAGCTTTGGGGTCAGGAGATTTGGATGAGCGCAACCTGCAAAATTAATTCTCTAAAATCAATATGATATCAAAAGACAGATTCTCTTGCAACAGATCAATTTTGTGAATTGAGTTATCTCTCTTAACCCCTTATCACATAAGTTTTTCCCCCTCTAAACATTTCATTTGGGAGTATATATTTGTTTTATGAATTAAGAGTATATAATATTAGAAGTATAAAAATTTTTTTTTTTCTTACACTTAATAACATTTTGATTAAAGTCATGTCCCCCTGATATAAAACAGCTCATATACCAAAAGTACATATCATTCATCTTCTAAAATAACATCTAAATACACAGTGCAAGTATCCATATTAGATGCTAGAATGCTGTTGGATATATGCTAGAAAACAAAATCAGTCCTAAGGAAGTGCTATGATAACAGACCAAAAATATTATTTTTTTAATAACATTGTTAATGAAAATATCATATATATATATATATATATATATATATAATAATGATAATGGACTCTCCCATCGGTTTTGACGTATGAGAATCTGACAGCTTAGTTGATTCAGTTATGAAATTTTGTGGGATAATCTTAAGTGGCATTTAAGACCCGCTAGTGATTTACAAAGGAGGCCACATATGGAGCTAGTGTGAGGATTGTAAGATGAGATCACTGTTAGATTGGCTGACTTTTTAGATCTTGCTCTTGCTTCTTGAAGATGATTCAGACAAGCAGATTGAAAACTGCCGAGTCCACTAAAACACGTTGATCTCCATTCTACCCGCTCCAAGGCTAAGTGCTCAAGGGTGTTATGTGGTATATTGACTGCTGACAATATATATATATATATATATATATATATATAGAGACAGAGAGAGAGAGAGAGGGCACTTTGACATAGGGTAACAGTTGCTTGTCTTGCTCAGTTATGACCAAGTAGTAAGTTCGATCTTCACTCAGTGCTGCTTAATCTTAACAAGTCACATCTAAGCTAAACTTAGTAAATCCCTATATACTCTGTCTCTCATCTGGAATAAATAGGACACACCAAGCTATTTAAATTTTGAATACTTTTTATTTATTTTACCCAGTCTACTCAATGTTATTCCACACTACCTTGACCCCCATTTATGTTATTTTCAGTTTTTTTGTTTGTTTTTTTTTTACAGTCTGTAGGTTTATTCCAACCTCTCCCTCTATTCCATATTTAAGACTTGTAGACAACCAATTACATGGAAAAAATAACAAACCAATTTTAGATTGCCTAGTTTTTCTTGAAGATGTGTGGGTAGTGTAACAGTAGGGCAGGTTGATTTGAAAGTTGGGATTTGACATGATCAATAATGACAACATTTTTTCCAAATTCTTACCTGCTTTTTTGAAGAAATAAGCTTAAAGATTAAGCTGAGGTTCAAAATCATAGCACTGGAATTTTATTCTGGTGATCAGTGAAATCCTTATAGCACAGTCTTATAAAATTCAAAATTTACTGAAGCTTTACAAATTATATATGGACAAGATGCATGACACAAGCACATTATTGCGAAATCATTGTGCCATCAAATAAAACCCTCATTTACTACAAAGGGAAATTATACTGAACAATTTATCTATATTATGATACATCTTATACAGTGCAAGTAGTCTTAGTGTGATTTTCAATAAACAATGTAAATTTAAAACATTTTATCTTATAATTTGTACCCAGCAGTATTATGGTGTTATATACACTTACCTATTTTTTGTTTTTATTAATTATGATCTAACAAATTTTATTTATTGAGTGGCCTTTTTTGTAATCTTTTACAGTTTTACTTATTGAATACAGTAAAAAAAACTGCATATTTTGCTTGTGGTGATTTATAATTAAAATTCTGGTTTGAATATATCTTACATTCAATGTATTTAATGCAAAAGATATCAAATTTATCTGAATTTATTATTGAAATAGTAAAATTTTGAAGTTAGTCTGTGGAAATTAAGTATTTTTGTATATTTTTTCAGACGATATTTAAAACTCAATGCTCAAAAATTGATAAATGCTATGAATCTAATTGTTGGTATCAGTACTTAGCAAATAAAACCTCAGCTTTCACATGGAATGCAATGTTGATTTTCAAAAATAGTGAAAAATCAACCTGTCTTAAATAGTTATTAGTGCATGATGGAATCAATGAGCAGAGTTCAATTTTCAGCCTAGTCTGCTGAATTCACTTTCGCACTAATGCCTTTGGAAAAGGCATGACTCCATCTCTTCTCTCCATCCCAGCTAAGGGCTAAATAACAAGTAGACTGGGCTTTCTAACTTTGGGTAGTAGTCAGTCTAAGAGAAGGACAACTCTGAATTCAAAGCCATGGAGAAAACAGGAAACCACTCCACTAATTTTTCCAAGAAATCAGATGCAATCACAGACAATAAAGAAACACTCTGTGGAAAGCCAGGATTGCCTATGCACAGAAAGGAAATTTAAAAAAAAGAAAAAACAAATTTTCTTAGACAAAGCTTTCATCTTATTGTTGGTTTCTATTGCAATGATCAGGTCATTTAATGTACATAGACAATTGACTTACATAACAAGACATTTGGTAAAACATAAATCTACTTACAAAGAAAGACGGAGAACATTTTCAAATGCAGAGTAGCCATACTTGCTGTCATTAAGAACAGCCACACCAAGGCCATATTGGGAGAGATCAGCCCATTTATGACCACAGACCTACAATAAAAATAAGCCTGATGAGGATTGCCACAAACTGATACTTTTTGTTTTGACACTACTTATCAAGATTGGTCCACTTGTAAAAAAAATGGGGAAAAATTTCAATCAGCCCTGATAACTCTTCAAAGTCAGGGACCAATTTTACACTGTATTGCTATTATGAACAGGGCCACACTTCTAAATTGATAACTAATCAATATTTTTTTTTTATTCTGTCAAGTATTATGGCTTAAAGAATGTATAAAAAATGCTAATCTGAAAGAATTATTTCAAAAAGATTTTTCCCTATTTTTTTATGAGTGGACCACTTTATTTAAGTAGTTCTCTTTTACTTTAGTATTAATTTTTTTAAATTAATTATCATTATTCAAAGAATAAAATATGTAAAGTTTCAATTATGCAAATGATTACCTGTCAAAAAAACAATGACAAATTCTACAGTGGAAATATTTATGCCAAAATAAGTCAATGTAAAAGTAAGCCGATTTCAAATCAAATATACATCTAGATCATCTCTAGTCACATAAAAGAACAGGAATGCTTTTAATACCTTTTCTTTGCTGCTTCTGATTACATACACTGACTGACCCCTATGAATAACAGGTCAGTTTTTTGTATACTGACATGATTGAAGCCATGTAACCATATGAATACACAAATCATGGGACTGGATTATATTTTTTGATTTTATTCAATTATGTCCAAAACTAAAAAACACTACAAAATTTTGTGGCCAAGCCATCCTGTTGTTGAATTCATAATTAATGTCATTACAGATTAGAAAGTTTTGGCCAAAAAATCAAACAATATTTAATATCATTTTCCAATATGTCAATACCTACATGCACTAATAAACTGAGTTTGTCACTGATAAAATAAATACAGTGATATTATTTACATTCAGATTAATGTCCTCATCTTTGATGTTAATTCAACATTTTGGCCATTGTGCACTCTAACCTTATTCAGGTGTTGGTAAATTCAGGTATACTTCAAAGAATTTCAAACTGAATCCTTCATTTAATCATCAGGAGTGATTTTTTTCATTCTGCTCTTCATATCCCACAGATTAATGGGCTGATTCATGAATTTGGGGGCATAGTAATTATCTGTTTAATCCATGGGCTAGATAGTACCAACTTAGACTCACGAGGTGAGTAATAAGTGAGCAGTACTAAATAAAAACTAGACAGATACAAACAGTAGAACAAGAACAATCTACTCTCATAGATAAGTAAAGAGTTCAGCATGGAATTCTCACAAGGTAACCCAAACTGACAGACATCTGAAGAAGGCTGGAGAGCACAATGGCCGAAACACTGGGATTTAATATGTTTTTAGCAACAAAGATGAGGACATTTGAATATAAATAACTCCTCATCCCATAATTTCAAAATGAATACAACAAATATTACCATCAATTTTTTATTAGGAAAATGTTTTTCTACTGTGTAATCAGTTTTGAGCTTGCAAAAACACACACACACACACATCTAATATTAGACTCTTTATTTTTACATATAAGATAACTCTTCCTTGCAACTCTACAAGCAGAGAAAAAATGAGTGAGGAAAACTAAAAACAATAAAAATCAAGAAACATAATGGTCTAGTTTGATATATAAAAAAAATTACTTCCAGATCTGCTGAGGAAAATGTCATAAGTGAATATACAATTTATTGTAAAACTAACAATGAGTACTGCCTAATCTTAGACAATTCAGATTGTCTTACAAGGATAATGTTTACTGTCTTATTTTTTCACATTTATATGAGGGCAAGTCAAAAAGTAATGCACTTTGTTTTATTATATAAGATATAAAGAACACAATCAAACATATTGCACATATCAATATGTAGCTATGCATCACAGGTTCACATTACTTCTCAACATTGCCAATGAAAGAGGTAGTGACTAAGTTTCACCTACAAATGAAGACATGTACTTCTTTCTTTTTATGTGCTGTGTCTTTCAGGATGTAGGCAATCATGGCTCTCCACTTCCTCCTATCGCATGTAGCTCTCAATAAGTTTTGTCCTTCTGCCACGTACCCCAGACCACATTCTGTCATCCACTTGCTTAAGCCCGCCAAGCATTGCTTTCTCTTGTCTCTCTTTCCCTCTATTCGACCTGTGAGTATCAGGTTCTCCAGGCCCTCTTTTCTCATTATGAGTCCCAGAAACTTCAGCTGCCTCTTCCTGATGTTAAATATAAGCCTCCTTGTTTGCATCCTCTCCAAGACCTTATCGTTGCTCACACACTCAGTCCATGGTAAAACCACATCTCTATTACCTTGAGTCTCTTCTTCATCTTTGAGAAAACTGTCCAACATTCACTGCCATAGAGGACAGATGTCACATAGCAGCTTATTACTCTTCTCTTTGTTACCAAAGAAATCCTCCTGTCTTGCAATACTCTGCCCAGCTTTTGGAATGCATCCTTGGCTATCCCAATATGTCTATGGATCTCAGTGTCGCATTTACGACCCTCTGTCAAAACACTTCCTAGATATTTAAACTTTCACACCTGCTTGATTCTAATATCCCCAACCTGCAAATTGCATTTCAAGCTCATCCTTTTACTGATGACCATGCATTGTCTTCTTGTAGTTTATGCTTAGTCCCTTCTTCTTGTTCTCCTTCGCTACCTTCTGTAGGAAGTTTTGTAATTTCTTTTCCATGTCTGCTATCAGTACTGTGTCATCTGCATATCTTATATTGTTAAGATTATGGCTGCCAATGCTGAATCCCAGTAGGATTTCCAATTCTCTTTAGAATTGCCTCAATTTATAGGTTGAATAGGTCCAGTAAGAAGACACATCATTGCCTTACACCCCTTTCTATTTTTGTATATTCACTGAAATCGTTCCCTGTGCGCGTGCATGCTGTTTGCTGCCAGTATAGCTTCTTGATTATTCTAATATCTTTCCCAGATATATCAAGGTTGCTGAGCAGTTCCAACAGATCCTTGTGGCGTACTTTGTTGAAGGCCTTTGTGTAGTCTATGAAACATAGGTACACGTCCTTCTGCTGACTACAGTTTCATAAAATTCATCTATCTGCTGATATAGCCAATTCCTTACAGCAGTTTTCACTTCTTCACCACTTGACACCTTCAGAATTCCATCTTATTGGTCCAATGAAAGCAGTACTGAGTAGCAAACATTATAGTGGTGTTCTATATATTAGAGTGCCTTTGGCTATTCTATTAGTCATTATCAAGGATGTTTTTATTTTAATTTTTAACTGAATATGTAGGTTTTTCTGTGTGTATTTATAGTGATGAAAATGTATTTTTTTTATTTTACAAACACTAAATAATATCAAGGATACAACATGCTGATCATAGTTGGAAAAGAAAAAGAAAAGAAAACACTCATATGAATGCAAGGAAAATTGAATAAAAATCTTAATCCTTCTCAGTCATCTTTAATGAAACTTATATAAAAGAGAGATTGCTGCCCAAATATACACATACAAAGTGAAAACATAAAAACGTTTTTATAAAATATACATAATGAAAATATTGCCAAGAAATAGCTAGTTTCTTTTGAAATAGCATAATAGAAAAAATCTGACCATATGAGATAAACTTGAACACTTACCTCAAAACGTGCCCAATCCCAGGATGTATTTGAGTGAGTTGGCCTTTCAAGCCATCCATACTGAATATCATATGCAGCTTTTGTTGTTGTCAAATTGAAGGGAAATTCTACTTTGAGAAATTTGTGGCATTCATACCAAGTAACCTAGCCAAAAAGAAAACAAAATGAGCGTTTTTGTTAAATGTTATAAACAAAAGGTTATAAATAATTCTGTTGTTGGCACCCTTCACCAACAATTCACTCAGTCTTCAGAAGATAATTTTTTGCATCTTATAACAGAAAAAAACATATTAGACAATTTGAAATGATAGCGAGGATTTTTTTCTTTAAATCTTGCTATATAATATACCAAGTGATTTTTTTAATATACAGGGTGATTGAAAAGTAACTCCCTATTTTATGTATGAGTAGCCAGCCAGGAGTCCTGACTTAACACCCTGTAACTTTTTTCTATGGGGTTGGTTAAAGAAGCAAGTCTACTATAACCAAACCAAGACTTTGGAAGAACTTGAGGGGTGAATACAAGAAGTTATGTTAACAAGAGTTCCAGGTGAAATCAATCAACACAATTCCTGAAGCTGGTAGTGAAATCTGGTACCTATATCTCCTAAAACCTCATGCTAAGTGCTTTCCTCTCATATCCATTTCTTGTAAAAAGTATAGTTAACAAATAAATTATAAGTATTTTAAAATGGGAAGTTACTTTTCAATTATCCTGTATATAATGCTTGTAACTTTATGTTTTACAAGATTGATCAATCTTGCACAGACAATGCCAGGTGGTAGAGATTTTGTTATAACAATGGCAGACAGATATTTACAAAACTGGTAAGTAAAAAGACTGATATGCTGATAGAGAAGAGCCCAACAATATTGACATATTTTTGATTGTTTGAGTAAATTAAGTTTAATAATAAAAAATAGAACAAAGAAAATTTACTGAAATATGAAAATGTTTCAACTTATATTTGATGATTCTGTGATATATGATATAAAACAATAAACATAAGAACAAAATATATACTGTTACTTTAATTTGATATTATGTACATACATCCAAGTGGATGTGTATATATATATATATATATATATATATATATATATATATATATATATACACACAGGGTGTGATGGATAATTTGTTGTCTAAATTATGTAAAAATGAAAATAACACTGACATCTCATTTTAACGGACATATTCACCAAAATTACATAAAAATATTTTGAAATACTAAAGAGTAAATTTATTCAATAAAATTGCTATTGGCTTCAACCACAGCTTCCAGACAACTTTGGAATATCCTGCAACTCTTCTGGGTTGTCTCCTTGTTTAAGTTGGTGAATGCTGCCATAATCCTTGCCTTCAGTTCATCTTTGATGTTATAAGGAGTTTTGTTGATCTCTCGCTCTGCTGCACCCCACACATAATAATCAACGGGGTTGCAGCCTGGGAAGTTAGGTGGCCAGATGTAAGTGGGGATGTGGTCGTAGAAATTAACTGGGTTCTTCTACTTGTGTGGCATGGTGCAGAGTCCTGTTGCCAAACAAAGTCTTCCAGCAGCCACCGTCTTGACCCAGGGCAGCACTACATCTTCAAGATACTCTGTGTTGGGTTTGAGACCCTGTGGGAAGATGAATCACTAGTGATCACTCCAAACACCTTCGTATTCACCATTAGACTCATCCTAATTTTTCTGAAGCCTCTGCACTGTCCTCAGATTTACACCCAAACACTCTGAAATGTTTGTATTGAAGCTTCCAGTGAGAATGCCAAGCAGTATAGCATGTCATTTCCAAATTTCTGCAGAGTGTATTATGTCACGGTGCTCTTTTTCTCACAGATGGTGCCCAACTGACCCTACTTTATTGTGCAATTGACAAAACGACGATTTACTCAGCTCACCCTCTCTCACACACACATATATATATCATTTATGCACACACTTAAATCATGCTGAAGGCATTAGCTCTCGCTTGATCACTGGAGTTAAGCATCATCCAACCTGTTCAGTATTTAGATGGGGGACCACTTGGGAAACACCCAGTACTATAAGCAGTAACAGAGATGATATCATTGTTGTATGATTTGGGCATTAATGACCCTGGCAGTCTCATCATCAAACTAATCAAATCATCTGTATCACAGATGATTTCTAATTTTCTTGACTGTTCTTGCTATTGGATAACATCCCTCTGATAATCCGATCCCACATAGTGTTGTACAAGCTATGAATGACTATAAGCAATGGCATGGGTACCATTGGATTTGCAGGGTTTTAAGTGGAGCCACCACATCTGCCACACCCTGTTTGGTGGTGGTCCTCATGCAACAGGTGGGAGGACATCATATTTCATTTAGTATTACTCACATACACACTCATATGTGTGGGTCTATCTATACATATTTAAATTGCTAACCTAAGAAATAGTTTCTCCTAAAGTATATTAATTTTTAATGAAGCCGAAAAAAAAAAATACATACTGAATAATACTGAAATCTGCTAAAGATTTTTTTATTTACACTATTTACATTGTTCGGACAGTTGTCATCATCTTTGTTGTCATATTCACAACGTTTCAGCCCTTGTATGTTCTGGCCTTCTTCAGGTGATTGGAATTTTGAACTGAACCCTTTATTTCATCCACTGGGGTAAATCATTCTAGTTCCACGTGTCATGCCTCTTCTGGATATCTCAGTATCAGTTATTTCCCTTTAACTCAACTCTCCAAGTTTTTGCACACCTCTGATTATTGAACTCACAACCCTTTGGGTCAAGTCACTGGATTCAACCAACACTTTTATCCACTGGGTCATGTGTCCTATTTTTAATATGGGACAAAAAAAAAATTTTAGGAAATAAACTGGGACAAAAAATTCAGCAATTTACGCAGCTCTTTTATTCACCCTTGTTGATTGCATCTTAACATTTCAACTGTTAAATAATTTAAGTATACACTCTGGTATGTTAGAGACATTGCTTGGAATTTCTCCAAGTTACATTTAACCATGGCCAATTACTCTACAAACAGAATAATTATTACAATATAAAGTAATAAAAGTTATGTGAGAGATAGAAGATTCATTCTTACCATAAATCTTACAGACCTCAGTATACAGTTTTTGTTTTTTTCCTTATTAATTCAAGAAAATTCACCTTTTTACTTTAAGGAAACATTTTACAGCTTCTCTTTGGTATATCTGAAATATCTTCAACACTGCTCTTGGACCATGGAAGCATTAAGTAATGAATTGGTTATTTCTATGGTTGACCATGAGTAACTGAAACTGCAGAAGCCATAGAAGAAGTGGGTGCACTGTAATTAAATCCTTAATTTTTAATGACAACCCATCTCAAGTGCAGTAAAAAAAAAAAAAAATTACCTCAGTTTTAAACTTTAAATATGGGCAGCCAACATCTAACATAATATGTTGAATGATGTAACTACTTTCACTGATTTTCAAGGACACCTGAAATATCAAATGAGTAGAAAGTTTTTTTTTTTTAAATTAAAGAAAACTCAATTTCAATAACACTCCATTTGAAAATTTAAAATTATTTCTGAAGCAGAATAATTTTTCACATGAAATTTTATAATGGCACAAGCATTTGTACACCAGTAATTCTAAAGCCTGATGATGAAAAAAAGACATTAATCTTACATAAATATTTATTTTTTAACATCTCTCCTTGTCACTGCATTTAATTCAGTGATGAATACTAATCATACACATTGAACATTATGCAACGAAAATTTTAGAACAAAAAGGACTGTGTCAGGTTATAGACTTATTAATTACTAGCTGTAGAGCCCGGCGTTGCCCGGGGATGTAACAGTAAGAGATAGATCAAGTATCGACCATCATAAAGACTGAAAAATAAAATTGACAAAGATTATTGTTTAAGGTTGACGGACATGCATGTCTTAATTAGTTTTTTTTTGTTTTGTTTTTTTTTTTTTTTTTACGAATTGGTCAAACCCAAACTCAAACAAACACATTGTTTTCAATCGTTATGAGTCTACCGATTGAATAGAATTTTTCAATTTTATTATAAACAATTGTCTTGTAAATGGAATTTTTAAAGCATTCTGAATGTAAAAATAAAATGTAGGAAATCCGATCCCATATATAAACGAACACACACACACACACCTGGGTTTTATAATAAGTATAACTCAATATGAGTTGTCCCCCTTTCATTCTCGAAACAGTGATGCTTCTTAATTGTGTTTTCAAATTGATTTTGTGCAAAAACAATTGTGTTTTTCCAATTTTTGGCATTTTCAGAACCACCGCAAGGTAATTTTACATAGTCCTGTGAAGTTTTGTTGAAATCAGTTGAAAAATGTAGGAAATCCGATCCAATATATAAACGAACAGACACACACACACACAACCTGAGTTTTATAATAAGTATGATGATGAAAAACAATGAACAAAAAAAAAATATAAATACTGAATTTTTTTAATCAAGTTAAAAATAATTTACTACCAACTTACTGTTTATACTCATGTATAAGCCAACTTCATGTATAGTGCAACTCCTGAATTTTTTTGAATGAATTTCAATTTCAAAATTTACCTGTGTAGTGCAACCGATCATCAAAAATACATGATTTTTAACTACTTCAAAAAAATTAACTGTGTATAGTGCAACCTCCTATTTTTTTTATGTAAAAACAAAAACATACACTGTACTCAATTATATACGGTACTTATTTTACTTTTGAATGAGTTTTTATTTATTATGTAAATTATGAAACTATAACAAAAAAAAAAATTTGAAGGATCAGAGAGAAAACATAAAAGAATCCATTTTCTGTTGTGCTGTAAAACAAAATTCAGATATAACAAACAAACAAAGTAGTAACTTATAAAAATAATTAAAATTTGAAGCTAATGTTTATTCTTAAAAATTGACCTGTAATGAATGTATTTTCTATAAATTACAGATATTAATAAAATCTGAAAGTAAAAGCAGAAAAGATACAAGAATTATCAACTGGTAACCTTATTCAGATTATTATTTTGAATTTGGATATTCATGGATTATTTTGGGGACTTTTTTTCAAATTAAAATGCTTCAAACAAATACAGTAATATTAACTTACACATTTTTTAAATCTATAAATCTAAATTTTTGTTAAAAAAATAAAAATACCTGTAATTTTTAAAAGAATCATTATTCAAAGAGATTTTTATAAAATTTAACTTTCATTTTTGTTGTTCCCATGTTTCTATGAATAGTATAGCTGGAAAAGTTTGCAGAATATGAGAACAAAAAAAAAAAAGTTCAGTTGTCTGAAATTTGAATGATAAAAAAATCAAGTTCCTGTTTTTTTATACTCTATTCTAAATTATGAAAATTAAATCTGGTTGCAAAATTTGATTTTTACAGACCATGTTTTGCAAGAAGAATATCAGAGTAAACAAATTTAGAACCTGAATATATATGAAACATTATCAAACCTACCTTCACAGTGGAACGGAGGGGTCCAGAATCTACAATCATGGCCTGCTGCAGGAATGTCTCTAAAGGCTTCCTTTAATAAAATTAAATATATAAAGACATACTAATGTTTAGAGAATTTGTTTTTCATTTTCTTCTATTGTGAAAAAAAAGAACTGTATGAACTTAGCCAATGTACTGCTTAAGTTGATCTATTAAATATAGTAACATTATTTAAACCTTAAAATGATGAATGTTTGTGTTACTATCGTTAAATGTAAAATAAATGACAGAAATGTCCAACAAACAGAATTGACAAAGTTTACAATAACAAGAAAAAGAAAAGAACAGGGCAAAAAATAATATAAAGCAAGTAAACAATATATGTAAGACAAAGCAAAAGTAATATAGCAAAAAGTTCACAAAGAATTGGGGTTGACACACAAGAGCAAGTTCGGATAAGTGAACATAGCATTCTGACTTCAAGACAAGATAGACCAGGACTGAGTCATATGAAACCAACAAGTGACCCATCTTATTGAAATCCCAGTATGCATTTGTCTGTTTTTGCCTATAAATTGAAGAGAGGAAAGTATTTTGCAGTCATTCCCATATGGATTGAAACCAACAGTTTGGCAATAGATTTTGAGATATTTCAGTAATGGTAAGATGAAAACAAGAGATCTGAGAATAATTAAAAGGGAGACCAGCAAGAAAATATTTGAAGAAGCTGGTGATGTAAAAAGAGAAAAGCTATAGAAGCAGAGAGAACCTGAGCAAGAAGTGGAGAGAGTGTCACATTGATACCAAAGTTATTTTAATCATTTTCATTTCAAAGTAATAAAGCCACTAAGACACAAGGGGTTACTGGGTGTGAAAGAATATGAGAAAAAGAAAATATTATTAAGTAGAAAGGAGAATAAAAGAATAGGAATTAAGAAGAACAATGATGATGATGGGCACTGATCTTCCAAAATATAAATGTAAAGTAGACAAAACAGAGTTCCACAAGTGAAAAGTGCAAAAGAAGGAACTGTTAGTATAGAAAGTATGGTTACATCTAGCCATTTTAACTGTAAAATGATGAGACCTTGCCACCAGTCAAGTACCGTGCTTAAATTCATAAAGTCTAGGTACCATAGAGAAAAGTTCACCAGAACAATTACCATGAAATTGTTTATAGAAAAGGCACAGGGAATGAATGTTATAGTGGTGGAAAAGTGACTGAAGTCAAGATGTCAGGTCAGGATGATTAACATTGCAGATTCTTCTTTGTATTATATCAAGAATCTCTAAATATGTAAGAGAAACATTAGACCAATTGTGACAGCATTATTGAATGCATGAATGAATGGTGGACTCTTAAATGTTTAAGATAAATTATGGCAAGAAAAATTATCACAACACAGTGAACCAACTTAATTTTTCCTGTTGAAACTTCCCACCTTTCTTTTTTTTAGGAATAACTTTTACAAGTAAAAGATACTGCTTATAATTCTTCTGTTCTATAATTTGTAAATATTCTGACTATACTATTTACATTATTCAGACTATTGTCCTCATCTTTGTCGCCATATTTATTACAACATTTCGGCCTTGTATGCTCCAGCCTTCTTCAGGTGGTTAGAATGTCGAACTAAACCCTTTATTTCGCTCACTGGGGTAGACTGTTCTAGTTCCACATGCCCAGTGAGCGAAATTAAGGGTTTAGTTCGACATTCCAACCACCTGAAGAAGGCAGGAGCGTACAATGGCCAAAATGTTGTAATAAATATAGCAACAAAGATGAGGACAATAGTCTGAATAATGTAAATAGTCTACATAATACCTCATCTCAGAAATATAGACAGATTCTGACTATAGTTTCTCTTTTTTATTATTAATGTCTGAACAAGAAAAATATTCTTAGATTTTGAAAAAAGCAATTTCACTGAAGAATTTCTGCTAAAAATATATTTTAACTATGAATAGCATATATAAGAGATCTATATAAGGTTGTTCAGTTATGTAAAGTGATGAAATAAAATCTTTCTAATTATATATAAACATGACTTATTAATGTGAAAATAATGCAATAATGCAATAAGGCAACATGTAATCAGGACTGGTGTGTACTACTACCAAACTTTATTGGTAAATAATTTGTAACCCTTACTATCAGCTTTTTTTTCTACCTACATTTATATATATTAAAAAGAAAATTAAGCACAACTGGCTATTAAAGGGTTAACATTTTTTGCGGATTTTGATGTCATTCTGGGGAAGAGGGTTCATCCAAATCCATGAATTTGTTTTGCTCCTACTAAGTCTCGAAAAAACACTAAATAAAAATCACTATTTTTTTTTATCCATAATGTTGACCGTGTTAAAATTATTCAACATTTTAAAAAGAAAAATCTCAAGTTGAAGTTAAAAATTGCACCGGCCCTGCATGTAATGCCAAACGTCAACCAGAATTGCTTGAAATAAAATCATCAGTATAAGACACTCTGCTTGTTAAAAGTACAAGGCCTGTGCAGAAATGATTAATAGAGTTAATTAATATTAACAAAATTGGTCTCTCAAACCCAGTAGCACTGTTGTCTATTGTTCCTTTCAAAGTATTCCCCTTAAGATCTTACACATTTATCTGAGCATTCCTTTCACTTTTAAAAACTGTTTGCAAAACCCAATTTTGGGATCATTATCAGTTGTCTCATTGTGTTCTTAATCTTGTCCATAGTTTGAAATCTCCCTTTCAATGGCAATTTTAGTTTTGTGACATTATGGCTGGACAAACCTGTCACCAAAAGGTAGGAGGTGTTTGATAGTCTTCTCAAAAAAATCATCTGTCTCTACCTCCACGATAAAAATGATATGAACTAATTTCAGCATGAAAATTTTTATTTGTGGCCTCTGTGACTTAAAATTGCCCCCACCCACTTCCACACACTTAAAACACTGGTAATGGGCATCTGGTGGAGCTGATTCTGATCACAGCAACCAAATATAACATTGTGGGTGATGAACAGGCTCATGTTCAGAGTTGAACAGTTGCATCCCTAAGCCAGCATTGTGTCACAAAAAGATGATACATTCTTAAAACTGACTAATGTCTTTGACTAATGATGAAGAAGACCAGAATACATTAACATTAGAAAAATATTTTTAACTGTTGGTTAAATAGATATTTCAGCTAACATTTTCCTTTCCCCAATTTTAATGTTTGACATCGGTATGCAGTGGTCTATCTTTGAATTGTACACTCACAACTCTGATGATGACAGGAGAACAATAGTATGTGTGTGTTTATTGGGGTAATAATCTGGTGATCTTGTTCATGTATGACAATTTTCTCTTTCCACATTAAGTATGTCTCTTCTCTTTGGCAGCTTTAAGAGACTGTGCCCTGTGCACTTGCTTGTAAGAAACCTAACATACCATATTGGTATGATTTGATCATTAATTTACATTTTCATAGGGTCTCTTTTGTTTTGGAAAGCACATAGTCAGTTAACCACTTGACTGAATTCTGATAACTAACATCCCAAAAATATTCTTCCTATAAGATCGCTGGTGAATGTCTTCATGTAAATAAAATACATGGCTTATTGGCCAATCTTTGGAGAGGAGGGAGTCTTTTCTCCAAAATTATTCTACCGGAGAAACCACACAAATCAGATACGTAGATATAAGGACTTACCCAGATAAACAACTTAATCATAAAGGATTTTAGAGATAGTTTTTTTTTTTTTAATTTGCCCAAGGAAATTAGTACTTGTTATAATTTTCACCAGACTTGGTAAGTGTAGCAAGTGGGTGTGGGATTGTAACTTGTTATACTATTACTAAGTTATCTCTAAATTAATATTTAGGTTTCATTTCTTAAGAATCCAATTTCTTGAAACTTTCTTAATTTTGTCCAAATTCATTAAATGCAATCATCCCTTCTCTTAAGGATTTTTGCTCCAGTTATACACTACAGTTCAAAAGTTTGAGGCCACCCTTGTAATTTTTTTAAATTGGCCCAAAAAGTAGTTGTTTTGTACTCTAAATAAGAGAAAATTATTATACATGACTAAAAAAATGAGACATAATTTTTTTTTATTAGACATTTTATGACAAAAAGAAAAAAACAATTTATGATTAAATTTTGCTCTCGTCAAAATATTCTCATTTAGCCTTGATTACTGCAGCACAAATTTTTGGCATTCATTGCAAAAGTTTCTCAAAGTATAAATTTGACAACTGATTCCATTCTTTTTTTCAATGACTCTAAGAGCACTTTTTCATTTATTTTTTTTTTTTTTTCACTCTTCTGTCAAGTTTTCCCCTGCTAATTCAGGGGGGGGGGTCAAACTTTTGAACTGTAGTATATAAAACCAAGTCTTTCTACATTTAACTGTTTTTCAACTGTTGTCAAGCCTCTTTGGAGCTCTACTTTCTATACATACATGAATCACCGCCTACCTAATCACACCTTTAAGAAAAGCTGCCAAACTTGAATTCAATGTTTTAACAAACATATATTAGAATGCAATGGTCACATACTATAAAAGGTCATTCAATGACATCTTACTGCCAACTGAGTAACCACACAAAAGAATTTCTGTTCATGCATACATAGCAAGGTCCCATCTGGCTAGTTACCAGGTTATATCAAAGCTGTGCAACCAGTCCTCAAACATTTTAAAATGGCGGGATATGTTCAAAACACACCCTGTATAAAGACAATCTCTCTTCTATTTGGCTTTTTGCAATACAAAGTTAACCATAGCATATAGTAAGCAAGATAGCAATCTATATTGTGTAAGATAATTGAGAAACAAGCACAGGTAAGATTCATTACCTCGTCTCCAGATGGTAATCCATCACATCCCAAGCATCCCAATAAAGAGGAACATCATCAAAAAGAAGAAATTGATTTCCAAGGCAGTTTGGAGAAATGCACTCCCTGAAATAGAATGGTAAAATGCAAGAATTTTTTTTTTATTTTTGTTTATTAAAAAAAATATGATTACCTGAAATGCAGTAATGGTTAACAAGTTAATCGCATGAGACCATTCTTATAGTGAGTTTGATCTTCATGATGTGCTCTTACTTTATTTCCTATCTCCACTTAAAACTTCAAAATGAACCATCCTCTGGTTTAGCAAACAGAAACACTTAAGATTGAGCTAAAACCAACTCTTCCCTTCGTACATGGGTGAGCATTAGTATTCTTCTATGTGCCATGTCTCTTCAGGACATGGACAATCACACCTCTCCATAATTTCCTGAAGTTTGTAGCTCTTGGTAAAGTTTGTCTTTTTATCATCTCTCCTAATTCCTGTTTTGCAAGGCATTTACACAAGCTTGTTAGCTAGGTTATGCACTGATTTCCTCTATCCTTCTTGCCTTCAATAAATGAGTGTTAAATTTTATAAATCCTCTTTCCTCATTATGAGCCCTAGAAATTTCAAGTCTTTCTAATGTTAAATATAAGTATCCTTTTTGTCTCCATTTACTCTAAAACTTTGTCATTGCTTACATATTCAATTCATAGTATTCTCAGCATCCTTTTGTAGAACTACATTGCTGTGCTTCATGTCTCTTCTCCATCAGAGATGAGACTGTCCAGCATTCACTGCCATATTGAAGATCTGATATTACATAACAGATCAGTACTTTTTTTTTGCTATAACAAAATTTTCCTATTTCCAAATATTTTGCTTAGCTTTTGGAAGGTATTAGAGTTTGTAGAAAAGATCTATATACAGTGTTAATCTACAAATCTGGGACCCCAATACTCTGTAGAAAACCTAAAATTCTCCATGAGGGAATTCCTCCTTGGTTGAGAACTAGTCTTAAGAAATTTAAGACAATAAAAACTATTACACTGTATTTAATGTCAATTAAAAAAAACTTACATGTTTGTTTTGACTGATTTCAGACTAACTATTCTTCCACAGCTGTCTAAGGTCACTTGAATACAGTCATTCTTCATGTAAATCAGGTCATCTTCCTAAAATCAAAGCATAACAAAAATATTAAGACATACTGTATTCTTAAACAGCCATAACATTGAAATATAAGCATTTGCCAGATCAATAAGTTGGGTCAGGTATTTAGATGAATGGAAGACTATTTGAGAATTTCTAGAACAGTGATTTTTAACTTATTCTTTTTACAGGTGCAAAATTATCAAACTAAAAGAAAACTAAAAATTAAGAACAGATAGTAATAATATAAAATTAATTTATTTTTTACAATTTTTAAAAAAAAGTAATAAAAATTATGAATTACTAGCTGTTCATTTAGCCCAATAAGAGTACAGGTAACATTTACTAAACAAAACATCAAAACTTACATTCAATGTAATGAATAAATATATATATATATATATATATATATATATATATATATATATATATATATATAACTCTTTTTCAAAAAGGAGGTCCTAAGAATGTCCCATGACATTTTTCTAATACACACATGCATATGACTTCTTGAAGTCATCTGCTGACACATAGAATACACACGTGTATATATATATATATATATATATGTGTGTGTGTGTGGGGGGGACATCTTGGATAGGCAAAACCTTTTTAAGCATCCCCAATAAATAGGAAATAATTAGATGCCAAAATGTCCATATTTATTTAGTATTTGAATAGTAAGTCTAGGAATTCAAAAAACTGATAATTTAATACTAATCTTCTGCAAGAAGAAATGTACCAAGAGGATGTTCCCCTCACAGAAGAATTTATAGCAGCCTATACAAGATAGGTGATGATCTTGATGCCAAAAAAAGGTTGTCATTGGCAAAAAATTTAGTTATCTTTACAAAAACAGAAAACCATTTGATTACTAACATTCATTTTTTTAATATTTTCAGAGACTATATAAAAAGTGCTCATTTTTCAAACAAGTGATGAGATCACTTCAAAACAAGAATGTTATGTAGATATATGCTTTTGCTATTTAAAAATATCTTACCTTAGTGGCAAAGGAAATCTCACCCAGAGTCAATGGCTTGAGAACACTGTAACCACAAGATGGTGATGACACCAGTACTAGAATTAAAACAAAATAAAGATTCCAAGAGAGGAAAAAAATAAAAACTCAAGTATTTGGTCTGATCAAATTTAAATTAATTGATCATATAAATTTCAGAGTCAGAATTTATCTATTCTTGAAGATGATATTACAATTTCTCATCTCTAAAAGCTTTGCATTACTATCTTAATTACATAACTATGTAATTAATTTACATACTTAATTACATAACTATGTAATTAATTTACATACTTAATTACATATGTATTAAAATTAATTTTATTTGCACTGACACAGACATATGATAGTTATAATCTTTTACTGATTCTTTATAAACCCACAGACAAAACTGTTTTCATTTATTTTTTTTTTTAAATAGTCATTTTTTGCCAAAATTTCTGAAACAAGGAATTGTTAGAGATTCTTTTAGACTATTTTCCTTGTTTTTGTTGTCTTTATCCCTGTGTTTCAGCTGCTGTTCTTTCTTGTGTCTATCATATTTGGTAACATTCCAGAATTCGGTAAATTTTCTTTTTAATCCCCGTGCTAAATATCTATTAAAGTTTTCCAAAATCATCATATTTCCGTGTAAATGTACATGCTGAACTCGAATTAAGAATTAAATTATGATAAAACCTACCATTTTGGAGTTAACAACAAGAAAAAAAATCATACTTAGTCGCGGTCATTCATTCGCCATTACAGGCATTGTTTTATTACATTCACTTCAGAGCACTTCCGGATGCGCAATCATAATTTTTGGCCTATTTACTGCTTTTACTGCTCTTGTCAAAATTACTGTGCACTATCATAAAGCAATGTTACAAGAGAAAACTTCAAATAAAAACAAATTAAATAATACAATAAAACCTGTTTTTCAGTGTAGAATAGCAATGAAAAATTAAAAAAGGACAAATTAAATAATACAGTAAAGCATTTTTTATTTTTTAAAATTGAAAATAAAACAAACAATAATTAATGCGCAAACTTTCTAAAGAGCAAGGTAATTTACCAAATAAAATTACAATGTAAGAAAATGCTAGAAAGGAAATTCTAGGAAAACAAATTTAGGGTTAGGGTTTTCTTTTTGTTGTTTATATATATATATATATATGTATATATAAGAACAAAAAGAAAAACGTAACCCTAAATTTGTTCTTGTTAGAATTTCCTATATATATATATATATATATATATATATAATCTCTACAAATATCCTTAAATGTCTATAATTGGTAACAGAAGCCGTTGGTATAAACCAATGGCTTCCCATACTTCATACTTCCCCAATTCACTCTCACGTGGTCATGTGTGACGTCATGAGATGCGGTGCGATTTTCACTTCTAGCGTCTTATATGCACGTGTTTATCGTTGCTTAGAAAACATCTATGTAAACAATGACAGACTATCATCACTGTCTTGTCCGTATATTGCTTAATATGTTGTAATTGACATCTTTGATAATGGCTTATGTAAACCGAAAGTTTATATTGTATTAAAAAACATGGATCAATATTGTGAATTTCTTTCTTCGTTCAATGATAATGTTATTAAATTTATCAGACGTTATGAAAAGAATTTACATAAAATAAATAGACGACACTTGTCCATATTATTTAATGAAATGTGAATATGATATATATATATATATATATATATATATATATATATATATATATAAAGCATTGATTGAAAGACATTGCACCCTGAGAATGAACTTGGTATCTGGACTGAGCTGCAACACTACATTTCCATCCAGGTAACTATTAGGATATTTTGAACTGAACTCATTATTCATTCTCGGGATGGGGGAGAATTGTTTTCATTCCCACTATGTCTAGGGATAACTTGTCTTAGTTAATTGTTCCTTTATTGCTCATTCTATTTGCATTGAGTCAGAGTATATGCTTATTACTTGACCCAAGAATTGGATTCACAAGTACTAATGTCCCTAAATCTACTAAGCAATGTGGCACAATGGCCGAGAGGTTTAACGCCTTGGTTAATGAATTCAGTAACATAATAATTCTAAGTTCAATATCTGGACTGCGTGTTTAGACTCAATGGAAACAGAATGTGCAATGACTGAACAACTGACCAAGACAAGATATCTGGAGACATAGATAGCAGAATCAGAACAGTCTACTGCATAGTTTGGGTTCAGTTCAAAGTTCTCTGAAGGTTAAACAGATCAAGGGCAGAAGGCACAAAGGTCAAAATTTCATGAACAAAACAACAAAGATGAAGACATTAGCCTGACTCTAAATAATGTAAATAACAAATCACTAACCAAACAAATATTTTATTAAAGCTTTGTAATGGAAATTATAAGAAGAAACATGCAATAGCTAAACAGCCAGTTCATTCCTATTCTTTAATATAATGAAAAATTAAATATTTTAGTGAAATATATGTACAACAGAGATTTTAATGGTACAAGTTTTCAAAAAGAATTTACATCGGGATGACTGTACTACGGGGTTGTATTATACTCAAGGATGTAATGTATTCCCTGTCTTTAGCTTCAGAAAGACAGTGTTGTATTTTATAGACAAAATATGGTATATGGGTTCATCATCATAGAACACTTTTTCCACCTACAGCAGAATGTGCACTCACATGACTCAACTCTCTCCAGAGTTCATTTTGGCATTGTCCTGTGGTTTGGTGAGCATTTCTTTCTGTACTAGCTCAGGGCATCGTAGAAGAGTTGGAAAGAACTTGTACCTATAACAATACCTTTCCCAATGGTATTTGTGCATAAGTGAATGTAGTGAACTCAACTCTGATTTCTCATTAAAAGATGCTATTCATGATGTCACCTACACATTTAGCTATTTATGTAAAACCTGTAATTTCAGGAGAATGAATCATACATATAAGTATGTCAAAAGTTTTCCTTTATTCTTATTTGTGCACAGTGTGACCTTAGATGACCGACTGCTACTATTATTCTTGGCTTTTTCCACCTCTAAATAACACACAATGACTAAAAGCAATAAACAAAATACAACTAAACCAGCTTGTCAAAAAAGCACCTAAACCCCTCAACCTTTCTTTTTCCAAAATTCATGGTATTCATACCAATTTCTGTAGTTTGTAATCATTCCTCATAGAACATTCTTTGGGCGTTCTAACCCTCTGTCAAACTATTCTGAATTCTTCAATCTCTTCCTCTTTTTTGTAGTAAATTTTCAAGAACAAAAAATGTATACATTCACTTTCATCATATATTTAAGTTTTATAATTCTAATCATCACTTTTTAAAACAGTTAACATTGTTGAGGAGAGAAAGTAGTTAAAATAATAGCAGTGTCAAGGGAAAAATTGACCTTTTGACACTCCAATTTTTTGTGAGCACAAAGGTCCAAGATTGCTGATTTTTTTCTCAAGTGATATCATTAAATTACAATGACTTAAGATTTATTTTAATTCCATAATAATGTAATAAAGTCCACAATATTAGATAAAAAATATATAAGGAAGTATAGAAAAGAATTACTATGCAATAAAACAAAACTCTACATTGAAGCTTTTTCACCTCACTCAGACACTTAAAATTACATAAAAATAAATTATTATGGCTACTATCAAACTATGCATTGAAAAAACTGATTTATCAAAAATATCTTAAAGAAATATAATGTAAAGATTAATAATGGATACCTAATTGCTTTCCACAGAAATCAATCTGAGATATTTCAGAAGAAAGTTTTGTTTTTTTGGTAACAGAAGCCCCAGGACCATCTTCTGGGATCTGAACCACTTCAATTCTGTCCCATGATAGAGTATTAAATACAATGCAACAATTTTCATTGGCATCCTGTAAAATATAATGAAAAGTGTTAAAGAAAAAGCATTATATAAAAAGAGAAATAAATATTTACTACATTTAACAAAAAATAACATTTTTCAGCAAGTAACATTCAATTGTCTTCTAAGAATGTCTTAAAAAACATCTTATATTTAAATTCTTTAAAAGATTAGTATTCAAGGTTAGCCCATAATAATTAAGTATCTCAGGGTTAATTTTTTTTGATCATTTCACTCCAAGCAGGACAATAATGCCACGAAGATGCAAGGGTTTACCGAAAATGAGAAAATGTTAGGAAGGAGAAAGGACAATAAAAGAACAGGATTCAAAAACACAGAAGATAGTAAATGAGGCCACATTTTTGCCAACTTGGTTTAAAAATCAAATTTATCAAAGAGACAGCCAACATGACAGGCTTAGATGAGATACTAAAAGAGGAGAAATTACCTCTGCCCATTTGGAAGTAATGGTGCAAGACATAAATAAGAGGAATGAGTTATATAGGCAGGATGATACCTGTAACCACTACTCATATGAAGAAGGGATCTCCCAAATTTGGAGAGATAATTGATATTGTGAATCAGAAAACAAAGAACTCTTGTTTAAATTGATACAGAAACCTAGGGAACCCCCAAAATTCCCAAATACCATCAGCCTCCACTCTATTCTTGAGTCAAAGTCAGTATAAGCATAGTGCTTAAGTGACCTAGAGAGAGAGAGAGATGAAACAGCAAAAGGAACAGATGAAGGATCTACTGAGTTTCAAGTGACTTGCTACTGAGAGAATCTCCAACTTTGATCTCTGTTCCAAGAATTAGCACTGATAGGCAAAGTGTTGCTATAGGGGAAAGGGTTAATATTTTTTATACAAAGATCTACATAGACCAAATTGAAAATTAACCCGAAGAATCTTTTATTTGGTATCTGTCTATATTTCTGATGTACACTATTTACATCCTCATCTTTGTTACCATATTTATTACTATGTTTCGGTCATGAGCGTACAATGGCTGAAATGTTGTGATAAATATGGCAACATAGATGAGGACAATAGTCCGAATAATGTAAATAGTGTACATAATACCTCATCACAGAAATATTGACAGATACTCATTACAAGCAGTTACAAAGAGGTTGGTATAACCAGAAGAAATTAAAACTGAAGAAATATAATTGTTATATAACCTGTATTCAGTCAAAGACATCTTAATTCTAAATTTCAAAAGCGTTTCTGAAAATAAATACCTTTTTTTAAGTAGGGAGTTTGGTGAAATAAGGTTATGCTTTCATACAGGGTGCGATGGATAAATTGTCATCTACATTACACAAAAATGAAAATAACACTGACATCTCATTTTAACAGATACATTTACCAAAATTACACAAAAATATCTTGAAATACTAAAGAGTAAATTTATTCAATAAAATAACCATTGGTTTCAACCATGGCCTCCAGATGACTTCAGAATCTCCTGCAACTCTTCTGGATGGTCACTTTGTTTATGTTGGTGAATGTTGCCATAATCCTTGCCTTCAGTTCATCTTTGGTGTTACAAGGAGTTTTGCTGATCTCTTTCTCAACTGCACCCCACACATAATAATCAATGGGATTACAGTCTGGGGAGTTAGGTGGTCAGATGTAAGGGGTGATGTGGTCACAGAAATTGTCTGACAGACATGACTGGTTTCTTCTACTTGTATGGAATGGTGCAGTGTCCTGTTGCCAGACATAGAATCTTCCAGCAGCTACCATCTTGACCTAGGGCAGCACTACCTCCTCAAGGCACTTGATGTAGGCCTCCATGTTGAGTCTGAAGTCATCACCAACAAATTTGGGAGTTCTTTTCTTATCAGAACAATCAGAGTTAGTTTTTTTTTAGCTGCTCTACCTTTGTAATGACTATTAGACTCATCTATTTCTTTCCGAATCCTCTACACTGTCTTCAGATTGACACCCAAACACTCTGAAATGTTCATATTGGAGATTTTGGTGCAAATGCCAAGCAGTACAGCATGCTATTTCTAAATTTCTGGTGGAGTGAACTTTGTCATGGTGCTCTTTTTCTTACAGACGGTGCCCAACTGACCCTACTATACTGTGCAATCAACAAAATCAAAAACAAACAACACAAAATTAAAAATATAAAATGCCAACAATTTACCTATCACACCCTGCTTTACTTAATAAAATAAAATGTAGCATTTACTAATAGAATATCCAATAATTTTGATTTTGTGTGAAGTTGACTAGTATAGAGTAAGTACTTATTAACCTTAGTTTAGTCTGGTACAAGGTCATAGAATGAGATTCACATTTGTGACAGTAGTTACAGTTTGAAACATTAACTTGCTGACCACTGTTTCATGGTGAGGCAACAGTGTTTATATATATTATATAATATGATTATTTATTTGGATATCTATTTTATGTTTTGTAGAAGGCTGAGGTGATAAAAGTTGTTTTTTTTAATACTGCAATTTCTGTTAGTATACCAAAATTTAAAAAATGCACAAAAATAAGACAAATAAACAAACCTGCTGGGTAACAATAGAAGTTATTCCATCTTGAAGCTGATTTCCAGCCAATTGTCTAATTTCTGTGAAAAGAGATTAAAAAAGTCTCAAGAATTAACAGAAAATGCTTTTTTCCCCATTAACATGTTCTCTTGGCTGTTTAAAAAAAATTAATTACTGATAATTCTTACATGCACTCTATATTCTCTCAATAATTTTTTGAATTTCATATTTCTTAAGATAAATTGTAAACAGGCATTCATTTAGTAGTGTAGTGGAAGTAGGGACAGCCCCTACTTCCAAATACCACTCCTGTACCGGTTCTATAATTCACAATGATTCTTCACCCTTCCCCGTTAGTGATTTACAAAAAAACAACATAAATTATATCTCCAATGGATAAAATAATATTTATGTTGGTCACACCACAAACTCACTTTCACGATGCTTGACTCTACATTTGAATGATAACTCAAACATTTTTAGGCATTTAAAACAACATGTCTGGCCGCGTACACAATTCCGGAAAATCCTCGTTGAAAACACAACTATACTTAAACATGAAAACAATAAACAAAAACTAAAAATTCTTGAAGCTATATACATAAAACAGTTGAAACCTAACCTGAACAAAATAAACTACGAAATCTCCACAAATATTCTTAAATGCCTATAATTAATAACAGAAGTCATTGGTTTATACCAACGGCTTCCCATACTTAATACTTCTAGTTTTCATTCTCGCGTGGTCATGTGTGACGTCACGAGCTGCAATGCAATTTTTGCTTCCACATGTCGTATACATGAGTTTGTCGTTGCTTTGAAATTTTTCATGCAACAAAAACAGACTATCATTATTGTTTCATCTGAGTATTGTTTGATATATTGAAATGTAATTGTCATCTTTGATAATGGTTTATGTAAGCCGAAAGCTTAGATAGGATTTAAACAGGTATCAATATGGTGATTTTCTTTCGTCTTTCTATGATAATGTTATTAAGCTTATCAGACAATATGAAAGGAACTTACTTAAAATAAATAGACAAAACTTATTATATTATTATATTATTTAATGAAACATGCATCATATATATATATATATATATAATATGCCAAGTTTATTTATATATCTTTGGGAAATTTCTAACTTTTTCCTGTATTGAGTAATCTTCCATTTTGGATTCGAAGGGCCAATGATTAAGCTGGAAGATGAAAAAAATTCCATGAAAGAGTATAATAATAGATATTGGAAGAAATATGTTTAAAGACTCCCATGTGAAAACATGATAATAGTAATGTTATACTCTGTTGCAATTAGATCTCTTTCTGATTAATTCTGCATGCTGACCAGATGGGAATGCCATGAAGGCAGAGAACAAAATAAAAAAAAGATGTTTTTCTCCATGCATCATGTCCAGTCTACAAAGCAAGCTCTGGCAGTGTCCAATCATGAATGTTCACACCAGAAAATGAGATGCCCCTGAGGACTACAAGACCTGCTTAAAAACAAGTCTCTGAGAACAACCAAGTCAGTGAAGTGCCAGCAGGCCACCAGCTGTCACGCAGGGACCTGCTGCTACCACCACCATAACCTCGTCACCATGACAACTGCAGTTGTGACCAGGCGAGCTGCCTGCTTTCATGCCTAGCACTACTGCTTCTACCGTCAGTATCACCACAGCGTCTCAACATGGATGCTCCTCTCACTGACTGTCGACTGGCTACCTCGGCAAATACCAACCATGAAATAAGCCAAACACCAACTCATCAACATCAGATTTGTGGCTTCTTATTCTTAACGCTCGCATCCTATGCATCATCAAAGTCAAATTCATGACTTTTCCTGACTACTCACGCTTGCAGCCTCATATCATTGTAGTCAGAATTGTAGCATTACTACCCACCCTAGGATAACACCTTGGCAACCTCAATGTAACCAGCCTCAGCAAAGTCAGGTTTGTGACTTCTCTCAACTACTCATGCTCGCATCCTTGTATCATCATAGTCAGATTCATAACTTCACAAACCACTCTGGGACAACACCTTGGCAATACACCAGCTGTCACCCAGATTAGTGACTTTTCCCTACTACTCACACCTGCACCCTTGTATCATCATAGCCAGATTTGTAGCTTTGCTAACCACTCCAAGACAACACTTCAACAACCCACTGCTGACCATATCTTGTGACCATAACCAGGCCAACATAAAAGATAGGTCAACTCATTCTCTTAACCCTGATCGACATCCTGACAATATATCAGAAATAGATATTCTACCTATTTTGCATCATTTGTATGACACCATGGAGATTAACAATAAACGTTCAAGTTTTAACCCTCATTATTCCTTTCTCTCAAAACCAAAACACTTATAACAGTAAGGACATGGGTCAATTGTTATTTCTCTTCCTTACCTTCATAATCTTCACTTCCTCTTTCATTCATATCACACACCTCATTCATCATAACCATTTTAATAGTAACCATTTACCTTGAGTGGTTATTCAGCCTTGTAATGGGTGGACTTTAGTATAAAAAATTAAGTAAATATGTCATCAATTTTGACAGCAGGTGTAAACTATGATTAGATATAACTTTAAATTAAATATCTATTCTATAAAATAAAATACAATGTGATTTTACATAAATTATCAGTTGTGCAGCCTGATCTCCCCTAATTATTAATGAGACATTCTGTTAGGACAACAGGAAGCATTACTAAATGCTAATGAATTAACATTTCTATAAAAGCAAAAACTCTTATTAGAAAGAACAGATTGCTAATACACTGCTTTTATTCATTTTGTTTATGTTAGTATGCTTTCAATAATTTTTACTTTTAATGATTTACAAAGCAGAAATATTAATTTAATTAAAAAGATAACCCTTGATTACTAATACAGAAAATCTAACTAAAATTACTTAAACATTGTTGCTATATATTGATGATATGGGTAAACTAGTTGAATAAGAAGACTATACAATAATCTTACCTGAATAATGCTTGTAAGCATCTCTATAAACCTGCAAAGCAAAGAGAGAATTTAGCATTTATTCCAGACCAGCATAATAAATGTTAAAAATTATAGAATTATCTATATATGGGTTAACACTTCTGTCCACAATGAGAATGTATTATCAGTGTTTCTGTCATCGGGGAGTTCACAGAAAAGCTTTGAGGAATGCCTTGTCTTTGAGATTCCAACCACACAGCAGTACCTATTTCATTGCATGAAAGAGGGTTGGTGGACATTGATGCCAGTGTAACAGTGGCCATGGGGGTTGGTCAGTTGCTGTCCTTGACCTATATGTATGTGTATGGGCACTCCATATTAAAAATGAACTTGTTACATCCTGCCACCAAGGGGAGATGAGTAAATACATGATGAGAGCATATATTCCTAGGTCTTTGGGTCTCCCCTTGTATCAAAGTTTGCTTTGATCAAGGAAAGTTGAAAAATAATATTACACCCAAGCCCCCGGAAAGTACATCTCCTTCAGGAAAGGGCTGGGTTTATTGCACAGTGACTGATGCATCCCCAAAAGGAGACGTGTAGAGGTGGTTTGAGAAAATTTTCCAATGTATTGCCATTAAGCCCACTTTAAAGTGACCTTGTGTCCAGTGGCGTAGCTAGAGTAAACATCACCCGGGGCGGTCCACTCAAATGTCACCCCAATGACCCCGATTCACCCTATGCTGAATGGTTAGCTGTAGCTAAATTTTCATACATGCTCTACCTCTACTTTACTCTACTGACCGGTACGTTACTGTTTACATGTATGATCCAAGACAAAATCCAATACCACAAAATAATCAGTTCAAATCAAAAGATTTTTAAAATGCAACTGTTCACTTTCAGAACAACTAAATACAAAACACGCCAATACACAAAAGAATGACATTCGATACTATGGTCTTAGAATGAATGTTTTCTTGTTTTCATTGTGGGTAAAACTGGTCAATGACATCGTCAAAATCTGTTTGTCTTGTAAGCTCGTTTTCAATGGACAGCACAGCCAGATCCGACAGTCTCGACTGGCTCATGGTTGGCAATAATTTTCTGTTGCTAATTTTCCGTGTCCAATTTTCCGTTGCATCATTTTCTGGGTACCATTTAATTATCAATGATGTTTGAAAGTATTTTTCTTGACAAAAATGTTCTATTTTTAAGCATTTTTTGGAACATTGTAAATCAATTGCATTCATTAAAGGTTACCTAGAGAATTTATGTAAAGTTTATTTTTTTGTTTTTCTTTATACAAGTAAAATAAATTTACATCGTATTTTGATGTTATTATGATTTTAGTGATAATTTAAAAACAATAAACATTTATCATTAGTACCAATAATGGAAAATTAAGTTAAAAATTTAAAAGAATCGTTTTTGGAATCGGAAAATAGGCACAAATTTTTCCGATTCCGATACCTCAAAAAGTTCCAATTTTTCCAATTCTCGATTCAGATTAATTGTCCCAACACTAGTAGATATATTCAAAAGTATATCGCTCACTCAATGGAAAATTGTATTTCAGCAAATTGATATACAGGCAAGACTAAAATTGTTGCACTTTTGGCTTCGTATTTCGCTTTGTTGTTATTAATGATGCAGAATTAAAACACCATATCATCCGATAAAAATAAAATGTTACAACAATGTCTCTTGTTAGTAACCAAGATTATAGCAGCTGAAACACGTGAAAGCTGAAAACATTGCTATTTTTCCTACTCACAAATTTCCCAACAATTTATTAGAAAATTTCTGAATGGGGGACAAAACTGGGGGTCATAAATTATTTCTGGGGGTCATATGCCGCCTCACGAAACCCTGTTGTCTCCACCACTGTTTTCAGACTATTTTTGGCACCTTAGCCTGGTTGAAAAATTTTGTTGGGGGTGACATTGTGTCACCCATCCTGTGCTGGCACCTGGGGCAGTCCCCCCCCTAGCTACGCCACTGCTTGGGTCACATTCAGTTAAGACATGGGCATGTTGAAAAATACCCCTTGCTCTTTAGGTCAAGATTAAAATGTAGTATCTCTCCACGATAGTCTCCAAGTAGTTCACATAAAAGGAACAAGGGAAACCTAGTCCTAAAGACATCATATATGTAGCAGCACCTCCTCCATTTTACTAAAAGGGCAAGTAGAGTATTCTGACGCCAATGTAGCAGCAGTCATGAGGAGTAAGTAGTTTTTCTCCTTGGCCCAAATCTACAAGTATGGGTACCACACATTAAACCAACCTAAGTTTCACATTCTACTTGGGGGTGGGGGAGCAAGGTAATTACAGGATTAGAGAGCACACCCCTGAAAGAACCTCTGAAATTCTGACATCTTTTAGCTAAATATTGTATTTCATCATAAAAGAATGATTTCTATTTTGATGAATTCTTCAAAGAATTTTTCAATACCTTGAACTGATTTAAACTGCATACTAGACAAGTAGTGTTACATGGAATGAAACAAGCATATCTGAGGGTAAGGAGGTCTGGAAAAAAAAAAAAATGCCACATGTGAAAGAACATTCCATAGATAAATTGGACATCATTCCTCTTTAGGGATGAAATCTGGTAAATTATGAATGCTTACCCTATGTATTTGGAGCTCTTTTTTAAAAGGATGTATACAATATATACTTTTTGTGAACAGGTTGTTTTAATAGAGTTTTTAATGGGGATAAAATAAAAAAAATTTCACTCACCTTCATTCTTAAAACAAAAAATTTTTACCAGCATCTTTTTGTGGTGCATTTTTTGAAAAAAGATCTGGTAAAAGGAATAATTCCTAATATTGATCTAGTAAAGATTAAGGGAAATAATTCCTTAAATCAATTAAGTAAAGGATTAAGGGAAAAAAATCCTAAAATTGATCTGGTAAGGATTAAGGGAAATAATTAATAAAACTGATCTGGTTAGGGGTAAATATATGGCATTTATTGTAAATGAAAGGTCAGCTTTGTATTTACCATATTAATAGAAGTTCCAGGCAAGACATCATGGAACTGATTTAATAACAGCAACTTCCAGAGGCGGCGAATCTCTTCTTCAGGATACTTGAATTTAGCAGACTGATTTCTTTGCAGAGCAAAAGCAATGCTACAAATTATTTCTACATTGGATAGTAGAAATTCACATGTGCGATTATATTTTTTTACCTGTACAAAAGAAAGAGAAGGTGATAATATGTTTATACACTAAAGTGTAACCTAAATGAGATCACATATTCAACATTTTTTTCATATATTAAATGCAAATTTTATTTCTCTGAATTTAAAATTAATTATTCTGTATACATATGTATGTTTTATGATTTTGTATAGCTGAGAAATCTATCCGCCAGGAAAATAGTAAAGGCCCTTGTTAGCTTTTTCACCATGGTCGGCTTACCCAGGGTGATACAGTCAGACCAGGGATCCAACTTCATGTCAGGGGTGTTTCAACAAGTTACGAAAGTTTGGGTATAAAATCCATTAAGTCAAGCACCTATCACCCCAGTCCCAAGGTGCCTTGGAGAGGTTCCTCCACCTTGAAGAGCATGATGAGAACATATTGCCTGGACCACCAACACGATTGGGACGAAGGTATCCCATTCCTAATGTTCGCCTACGCGAATCCATTGCAGGAATCGTTGGGGTTCAGCCCATTTGAATTAATATTTGGGCATTCAGTCCGGCGGTCCTTTAAAGGTACTGAGGAAGGTTTGTTCTTGGGAAGACCCAGTAACAGAAAATTTGCTGGAATATGTTTCACGTTTCCGAACCCGACTAGCAGAAGCATGTGAACTGGCCCTTGAGAACCTCCGGTCGGTTCAGCATAAAATGAAAAGATCGATCTGACCGAGACAGTCGAACGAAATTTCAGTGTCGGGGATAAAGTACTAGTGTTATTACCCTTGCCCGGACATCCTCTCAAAGCTCGATTCCATGGCCCGTATGAAGTGGTCAGGAAGGCGGTGACCTCAACTTCGTCGTAAGAACCCCTGATCGCAGGGAAGTCGACGCAGATGTGTCACATTAACATGTAAAGCCTTACTATGAGCGGGGAAAGACCGACCCTGTGTTAGTAATCAGTGGGCCTAACACTATGCCCGAGCCCACGGAGATCCGAGGAGATTATGGAAAGGGGTGACCACCCCACCAAACTTTACAACTCTGAGGTACTAGCTGACCTAAGTCTTGAAGCTGTCGATTTAGCCCTTGAGGAGAGGAAGGATTTAGCCTCCCCTTATCGAGGATTTCAGGGCCTGTTCCTGACGTACCCAACCAAACCACCGTTACTTATCATGATGTGGAAGTAGGAGATGCCACCCCATTAAACAGCATCCCTACCGAGTCAACCCACGGAAAGCCGAAATCCTCATGGAGAAATAGACTACATGCTAGAGAAATCCGCATTATCGGCCGTAGCAAAAGCAGTTGGTCCTCCCCCTGCGTGCTGGTGGACAAACCTGGCGGCTCAGTTCGGTTTGCACCGACTACCGAAGGTGAACTTCGTCACTAAAAGACGGACTCGTACCCCATTCCCAGGATGGACGACTGTATTGATAAAGTAGGCAAGGCTACTTATATTCTGGCTTCGATTTGTTGAAGGGTTATTGGTGTGTGCCCCAACCGAAGCGCCGCTAAGGAGATATCTGCTTTGCGACTCCGGATGGCCTGTATCAATACCGCGTGATGCCTTTTGGGATGAAAAATTCCCAGGCCACCTTCCAGCGAATGATGAACCATTGCCTGCGAGATCTGGCTGGTGTAGAGGCGATACATCGATGACATAGTCGTGTACAATAACACCTGGGCGAACACATGATATCTCTCTGAAAGTCTTCGATCGGTTAAAGCATGCCAATCTCACCATTAACCTTGCGAAAAGTGATTTCTGCCAGGCAGAAGTGACGTATCTTGGACACGTTATCGGCCATGGGCGGATAACTCCGATCGAGGCAAAAAATACAAAGTATAGTTAAGTACCCAGCCCGACCAATGTAAAAGGCCTGAGGAGATTTCTCGGAATGGCGGGTTACTATCGCAAGTTCTGTAAAATTTCTCTGATATAGCCTCACCGCTTACCCAACTGTTGAGGAGGAAAGCCAAATTTGATTGGACACCCGACTGTCAGAGATCCTTTGATCAAATAAAAGCCCTATTGTGCTCAAACCCTGTCCTCAAAGCTCCTGAATTTACCCGACCGTTCAGGTTAGCTGTAGATGCAAGTGACCATGGCATTGGCGCAGTATTACTACAGACCGATGCAAATGGTATCGAACACCAGTCAGTTATTTCTCAAAAAATTCAACAATCACCAGAAAAATTACTCTACAGTGAAAAAAAACTCTTGCCCTTTTGTTAAGTTTACAACACTTGAAGTGTATGTGTCTTCGTCCAGTCAGCCTACTTTAGTATATACTGACCATAACCCACTAACCTTCCTCAGGAAAATGAAGAATACGAACAGGCGACTACTGTGCTGGAGTTTAGCGTTACAAGAATACGATCTAACTATTCAGCACATAAGAGGCATCGACAACAGCGTGTGTGCTGACGCCCTGTCCCGTATCTGATCGATAAGCTTTGAGGATCAAACGGGGCGAAAACAATCTCTTTTTTTTTTTTTTTAGAAAACTGCCGTTAATGGCATTTTTCTTTTTTTTGTAGGGAGGTGTCACGTAAACGATTTCATTAACCATATAGGTGTTAGGCTAAAGTAAAATCTTAAATAAAGAGAAAATTAGTTAGATATAAAAGAAAGATAAATAAATAGATAAAAACAGAAATTTAATCCAATGCTTCCGATTAAGCGAGCGAATATATTCTATGATCAGCCATACCCCCTCTTCTCTTCACAAATTCTTTCTCTCCCTATCCTCTCTTCCACCCATCAGCCAAGGGCCCGTGAACTTAGAAGTGACCCGACGTGAGGATGACCTGGTTCTAAGATTTAGCGTTTGACCATGAGTAAACTCCAGACACCATCAGGGTCTCATGCTGCGATTCACGTGATCGGGACGTGCAGACATCGTTGAACTTTTGGCCATCACACAAACACTGCGTGATTTGCGCCCTATTCTCCCTCGTACCCGGTCAAGGACGAAGGGAACCCACGTGACTGTCTGTGGGGACAGCGAAAACCAAAGAAGGATTTTTCAGTTTCCCTCTGACCAGCGGCAGTTGAACATCGCTGGGCAAAAAAAAAAATCGTCAGACCGCCCACTGAGATGAGGAAGACCACGAAGTCTATCGACCAGTGATTGAAAGGTGCTATTGACTGATCAACCCAACCAAATGCCTGTATGAAATGCTGGGGACCCACGAACACTTGCGAAAAGAAGAAGAATCCAGGAACATTGTCGGTCGGCCAAGATACTGATTTATCATCAGAACTCTCGCTTGGGCGAATCAAAACTTTGTGAAGATACCAGCCCGACTGCAAGATAAGTTGGTTCTTTTGGCTCGATCTATTTTCATATATGTATGTATTCGCTCGCACCTTCTATTCTTTACTGATGTCCTCCCCTTTGTTAAATGAATGTTCTTTTTTTTTTTTCTTTGTTTCGTTATATATATATTTATAAATAAATGTTTAATTTTGGAAAGCCATCGCCTTGTGTCTGTTCTTCGTTGATTCCCTTGTGTCGCTTCCATTTCTGAGTGAAGACCGAGAAAAAGAAACCACGTTTTCCTTCTTTTTTTTTAGAACCCGTGGTTCATCTATATGCTACAAGTTCGTAACAATATGGATAGATATATATGGGAAGATAACGATTAACTAACCAAGATAATTATTTGTAGAAAGATATTGTTTGAGTGGAACTTACTTCTCGACAATAGAATATGGTGGGGAATGTAGATGGTTTGTTACTATATAAGTGGCATGGTGGGTCCTAGACATGAAGGTTAGATCTATCAGAACCAAGGAATGTATTTTGTCTGAGTATTTTCCATGGTAGTAGCAACAGAGCAGTGAGAGACTTGCTATGTCCCGCCCGTGAGAGAGAGGTTGGAGGGTGGAAAATAATTATTCTCCAACAAGGACTTGGAGACACTTTTGAACTGTATCAAGAAAGTGAGGACTGGGCAGCTCCTACCCAAATATGACAGCAATACTCCATTTTCAGCCTGATCTGATTCTTAAAAAAGGTAGAGGATAGTACGAAGAGTCAGGAACTTAATGGAGCAGTACAGGGAGATGATCATTTTACCAGTATCTTTAGCGATAGATCATATATAGAATTTCCACTTGAGATCAGATGTGAGTTTGAGGCCTAATATTCTCTCAAGGCATGGAGCCTCCCTGAGGGGACATCCGTTCAATGTGATTGGTGGTAGTTCAGGGTCTGATTGGCAGCGATGGAATGTAACCAGTTTCATATTTGAGACATTGAATATAACCAGCCAGTTTTTTCCCCACTGGCAAGTTAGTGCTGGATTGGAAAAGAGGTCAGCTGCCAATCTCTGATCATCAAGAGTTTTAGAGGTGCACCCAGATATCGTCATATCATTGGTATAGATGTTTTACATATGATTGGAGTATATTCTTAGGCAGATCAATTATGTAAATCAGAAAGAGCATTGGTCCAAGAGTGACCCCTGGAGAATACCTGCATTGACTAACAGGGTCTCAGAGGGCTGGCTGTTAAAAACTACCTTCAGGGATTTACCTGTTAGGTAGGATTTTATAATTGAGAAAACCCTTCCAGTGATTCCATACCTGGAGAGATTGTGTAGCAGACCTTTCTGCCACACTTTGTTGAAGGCCTTCGAGATATTTAATGTTATGGTCCTCACAGTGTGTGTCATCAAGGGCCTCACTAAGTCTATGTGTCTGGTAGTTAGGACATCAGCAGTAGATCGGGCTGTTCAAAACCCATACTGATCATTGCACATGAGGTTGTTCTTATCTAGGTACTCGATGATCTTTTTGTTGATTAAAGCCTTAAAAAGCTTGCTGATGATATGGAGAAGACTAATGGGTCTATACTGGGAGGGGTGATTGCTTGCCCACATACTTGAAGCTTGCCTCCTTCCACAGCCTTGGGAAAGATTTTTCCAAGCAGGGTTAAATAACTTTGCTAGGATTGGGATTAATTCTGAGGTGATATTCTTAAGGATTACTACTAGAGTTTTGTCTGGGCCAGTGTCTTTTTTTTGAGTTGAGGCTTTCAATAAGTCTAGAGATTTCTCTTACTAAAATGAGTAATTTACTGAGATTGTGCTCAGTGAGACAGGGGAAAATGGAAAGGGGATGGCTTTTGTCATCTAACGTTGAGTTTGAGGCAAAGATTGAGGTGAAGAGCTTCACCTTGTCTATCAAAAAAGATATGACTTCAGGGCCATTTATAATAGTGGGTACAGCTGCTTTGCCTCTGTTCATAATTTGGTTGGTGATCTTCCAGAATTTGCGAGATCAAATTTGTTTCTTTTCAACTTTGGCCTCGACAGCTTGTGGGTAAACCAGAGCTGACTGTGGTTTTTGTTAGAATTTTTGTGGGTGTATAAAACACTCAATTCCAGAAAGGTTCCATTTGAAGATAGGGGCAGCATGTTTGAAGAAGGTTGAGAGAGGAGCTTCTGTCATATAGGACCAAAAGCTGACCCAGTATGCCTTCACACAGTGAAAAACCATTCAATGAATCAGGCAATGTCATTAGTTTGGAATCAATATGGACACTGACAAGGGAATGGTCTGACGTGCCTATGGGGGAAGGGATAAAACTTTTGATGAGCATTTATCAGGCAGGATATTAGAAAAAGGTTGAGGTGGTTCACCTACTATCCCATCACATCCATGTTGTCTGCTGTTAAAAATTACTAATAAAATATTAACTATATCACTTATTTCTCCCTACTCCCAAATGTTGATACAAAAAGGTTTAAGTTCAAATGCTGACTTAGAAAGCAAGCAAGTTATTCCTGTTGAGAGAAAATGATTGAAGGGAATTTAGAGCAGCAGATCAACATCAAGTTTTGTGTAAAGATTAATAAAAGGGCTTGTGAAATGTTAGCCTTATTAAAAAATGACTTATGGTAAACACGATATAAAGAAAAAGAATATTCTTTTTTAGTGTCCTAGGTTGTTCAAGGAAGGATAAAATGTGCAGCCAAAAATACAACAGTACAAATGAGAACTAAGAGTGAACCATAGTATGCTCAAAATGAAGATTACAAGAATCTGTTCAAAGGAAAAAAACCTGAAATCTCCTTTGATAAGTGGATTCTACATCATGATAATGCTTCTGAGAAATGGTGCTTTCGGAGTTTGTAATTTCCAGGTTAAGAAATCTATTGCCAAATTGGGCCAGTCACTTTATTCACAAGACTTAGTTGCAAGTAGTTTTTGGCTATTTTCAAAATTGAAAAATGCCCTGATTTTCTGATATCTCTAACATTCACTAGAATGTGAGATTACTGAAAGACATTCTAGAAAAAAATTCTGAGAATGTTTCCAGCAATGGCACCACTGTCTCATGAAGTTTTTTGATTCATTCATTTTTTACAGCTTATCAACCCTTTGCAGGTTATATAAAGCCAGAAAATATTTTTAGAGTGTAAGAATTATTTGGTGGAGGATAATAATAGTTAAGTGATACAATGTAGATAATGACCAGGCTTGATGTTGCTTAATTTCAGTGACTGTATGGGATCCAATGTTCCAATGTGATGTGGCCATGAGCTGTCTCATGAAGTGTATAATTTCACAAGGAGAGTACTTTGAAGGTAACAGCAACCAATAGTAACCAGGTAGGCAAACTTTACTTTCACAGGGCAATTCCAGCAATTAAATTGTTATATTAAATAATATATTTTATAATATTCAGATAATTTTAAACCAATTCTTGGTCAAACAAAACTTGAATATAGCATGAAGTAGCAGAGACATATTGAAATTACTATCAATAAAAAAAAGAAAAGAAAAAAAGAAAATGTTGTACAAGTCCTCTTAAGCAGTCAGCTTTTCGATTAATACTTGTCAAAGAGGATCATTAATGAATTTATAAGATTAAACAATAAAACAAAATTACTAATAAAATCAAGGTAAAATGTTAAAAGATTAATCCTTATCTTTCATCTCAAAAAACAAAAAAAAATAAAAGATAGTGGGCTAACTTCAGTAATACTAAGTAATTTTAGCAAATAGAGAAAATCATTTTGTTTACAAAGAAACAGTTGGCATCTTTTTTTGTTTTTTGTTTTACAGTGATGTACACCCTGTACAAGGCCTGGGAGCCACTTGAGGTTGAGGGTTACAGAATAAGAGGCACAGTTTATGCAGATAGGTGAGGAAAAGAATGGTTAATGCTAAACTTGAACAGGTTAAGATTGTAGTGATCGGGAAAACACTTTCTTGAGAGACGGTTCCACAGAGCAGCAGTTCATGGGAAGATGTTCAAGTCAAACTTACATCTTACAAATGGAATACAAAGGAATGATCTAAAAATAAAGTTTTCCAATGATCTTCAAATATGACAACTGTGCAACACTAAGAATTTTTCAAACAACTGTTTCAAAATTCTAAGATGTCTTCTCAGCTTCTTTGTGCTATACATATTTTGCTTCTCTTGTGAAAATAATAACTGATTGTTTATCTTTAGCACTCTGTAATTGACTTTGTTTGCTGAGCAAAAAGTTTGTCTTGTTACTGCAAGAGATTCTAATTGCTGAATGATAGTATGTTTGAATTTTGCAGTGGTGTTTTCATGTCCTGCCATGGAAAAAATGACAACCAATTTGAAGATGGGTGTCCTTAAAAATAAAGTGGAAGAAATAACACATGTAAATAATAAAGTGTTAAAACAAAGTGAAGAAACAAAATGTGACATTCATGCCCGTTTTTTTTTCAACTTTTGCTAGTGGGATGATTTCACACCTTTGCATGTGTTGTATAGGTTCCATTATGTAGCTCCAAGTAAAGTTCGCCTTTCCATTTACACAACATTGATGTATCTTCAGATTCAACAGCTTGGAAGAAATCTGTTGGGGTACTCATCACCACTCTGTAAAACAAATTAATTTGCATAATATCAGATAGAGAAATTCACATCTTATACACACAGGAACAAAACTTAAATTTTATAGATTGAGATATATTATCTGAAATTATATGGAAAAAATCCTTATGAAAAGTGTAAGAGGAATTACAAATATACAGTATGATCTTATAACATTTAAAGAGGTTCAATTGTGTGGTAAATCAGAGGTTCAAAAACATCTGTTTGCACATAATGTTCAAATTCACCTAAGTTTTATGAATGCTGTACAATCTCCTCACAGATGAAGAAGAGACATGAATCAACAGAAATGTGGTTCTACAGAAGGATGCTCAGACTACCATGGACTGAACATGTGAGTAATGACAAAATTCTAGAGACAATAGAAACAAAAAGGACACTTACATTTAATATCAGAAAGAGACAGTTGAAATTTCAAGAGCATATAATGAGGAAAGAGGACCTGGAAAATTTGATACTCCTGGGACAGATCAAAGGCAAGACAGACAGATAAACACAAGGCATAACCAATCTGGCAAGGTTGAGTGAATGGATGGTGGAGCAGGGTTTGGGATAGATAGTGAAAATACAAAAATTACTGAGAGCTACAAGGAACTATGCTTTGAAGAGCCATGATCACCAACATCCTGAAGGGACATAATACATAGAAAAAATAAGAAGCTGGACAAAGGCCTTCTCTAAACTTCTTCCATGAAGACTATGTACTATTCTCTGTCATATCTTATCAGTAAAACCCTCTATCTCATTTTGGTAAAGTTTAACCTTCATGGCTGGAGGAAAAAAAAAAAAAAGAAAAAGGACATTTTTTTTCTCTTGACATCAATATTACTGTATACTCCCTTGGCAATGTTTATTGTTTTAAAATTCTATGTTTAGAAAAATTTTATAAACTATTTAGTTGTTAGATTGTTTATTTACAAGATTATAAAAATATGTGAAGCAACTACAATGCAATATTTATTCCCATTTTATAAATAAATAACAATGAAAAGATTTTTATTCATGATTTATGAATTTTTATTCATAAATTTATAAAAATGTCTGAATTATAGACCAAGAAAATTTAAATCAACGTATCATTTTTCCAAACATACTTTTTCTCCTAAGATTATTTTATATCTCAGAATACTTCATTTTAATTTTCCAATTTTTTTATAATCTGAAACTTCAGCAATTATAGATTAACCACTATTCTACACATTTTTGAAAAAAATTTTTAAATCCATGTTAATTTTTCAAAAGATTTGCATAAAGCATGCCTAAAAAATCCACAAATAATGACTGATTAGTAATTTTGTTCTTTGGAATGGTTGGCAAAATATCAACCAAATTTCAATTCATATATTCAAATATTTTTATAATATTGTAAATAAACAATCTAACAACTAAATAGTGTGTAACATTTTTGTTTTTATTAAAATTCTAAACATAATTTTCCATTCTTTTAATATTTTGCTTTGTTTCTGGAAGGCATTTTTTTGTTATTCCTATACAACTTCAGATTTTCTATCATCTGTTGTTAAACTATCCAGATAGTTAAATTCTCGTACCTGTTTGATTTTGATGTCCCCAATACACAGCTCACACCTTGGGCTGTTTCTCTGGCTGACAACTATGCATTCTCTTCTTTCAGTTAATAGTTCAGATTACTAAACTCATTCTTGGTATTGCTTTTGTTCTTAAAATTTTTCAGACATTTTATTCTGCAGCCTTCTTCAGAAGAAAGAATCCTCTCTTTTCTTCAGGGATTGGGGTTAAGCAGAAAAGAAATAGTGGCAAA